CAATCTCTCGGTGGATCTTCCTTCTTGGCCATTGACTCGATGCCCCGTTTCCGTTTCTGGGTCATTCGGGCCGGTCTGGCCTGAACCGAAGCTGGTGCATGGATGGAATTCACCTTCTTGTCTTCTCGAGGTTTCCTCGGTAGCCTCTCCGTCCATGTTGAAGCAGACATGATCCCTTTGGAGGTTGCAGCGGCTGCAGGTGACATGAAACAAAATAAGGGATTGAAAATCACTGTTTGAAGCAAGAGAGATGATGAGAGATGCCAGCGGCAAAGAATTCAAGAACACAAGAACTGGAGCAAACAACATTTTGCCAGCTTTGACAGCACTCAACGCTGCGAATTGCTCTAAGCATCTATGCTTGAATATGGTTAATTAGCACACGCTCTGAAACAATCCACTCCCCTGGTCGGATTGGCATTGGGAAGCTACGACGTGTGAAAACTAGGATCCCAGGCTTTTTACAGAATGCTAGGCAACTGAACGCTTAGCGCTCAAAACTGAACGCTTAGCGCTCAAGCAAAGAAATCTCGGTTCAGACGCAATGTCTCGCAGGCCGCTCGTGCATTGTCATCGGCTTGAACTTGCTGCCACGTCAAGCCCTTGTATTGGTCCTTGTGGTTGCCCTTCTTGTTCCGGTCCTTCTTTTGAAGCAATCCATGGTTGGTCAAAACACCGGCTTGCTCAGTGACCAGTGCTGAGAAGTTCTGCAATTTCCTGAATGGCCCCTTGCTGCGCAATTTGTTGCTGATCTGGGACGCAGGAAGGAAGTCCGCGCATCCGCGGCAATGCTGCAGGATTGCCTTCTTCAACGCGTCCGAAGAGCTAGGTGCTTCTGGTCGGTCCTCTTCTGGATGTTGTGCATTTTGAAATTCCTCCGCCAGAGGGTTGCGATTGCGATCAGGATACTCTGCGCCAGCCGTTGATGTTGCACCTTGCACAAAGCGGTAGTAGCCGGCGTGGAGCTCGAGCGATCTGAGCCAACAGCGGACTCCGCACATGAGTTCATGTGGAGAAATTTTCACGCGTTTGGAGTCGGCCAAGTCGTGCTTGTTGAGTTTCGCAAGGCTTTGAACCATGCGCATCGTCGGCAAGGCAGACCGGAGGATGTCATTCTTGGCAAACAGAATTTTCATCAGGAACCATTTGCAAGTCTTGTTTTTCGCGGACTTGCGCTTTTCTATCCAAAGTTTGATGGCGTTCAGGATTGTTCGAAGAAGACCAAGAGCGACCCCATCGCAGTACACAAAGGAAGGGCAATGATAAGGGCCTTGGAACATGAAGTCATGAGTGGCCTGCCACAATCCAAAGGAGAGACTACAATTGATATCTTCGTCTTGTGGGCTGCTATCAGGCATGATGGAGAAAGAGATGCGCTTGAAGAATGCTTGCGGTGTCATTTTCATGCACCATTCCACTGCCTCATATTGCCCAAGCATTTTGAGCTGGAAGCGGTACTGCCGCAAGTGGATCATGCCGACTCCAGTCATCACATCATCTCGCTCGCCCTGGGTCCATGTACAAAGCTTTGATCTGCTGAGCATGTGGCTGGCTGATTGCTGTGGATCAGCCCATGGTGTTGGCAAAGCTGTGATGATTTCATCGGTGCTCGCTGACACCCGTTTGTGGCTGAGGATACATGCCCTGACGCCTTTGAAGGTCGCTTCCACCATGTACACGGCATTCTTCTTGATGCAGTCGGGAGCGAATTTGGACCGAAGCACCAAATCCTGGAAAGAGGGACAACAAAACACTGGCAAAAAAGATTGGCAAGGTTGCCCTAGCATCATGACCGAAACATATTGTCAAAAAAATCAAAGCTGGCCCCCATGCATCGCCAAGGCGCATTGGTCAACTCACTCATGAAGGATTTGCGGGCAGAGGCTGAACCGGCAGCCATGACTGCTTTATCTGTGCCGATGGTGTGGCACGAGGGCTTCAAGTTGAGTTCGAGCGGAACCTGTGGAGCGGCTGCATCCATGGGTTTTTTCAGCTCCAGCTCTGCCATGTGTTCCAGAACCGCGGCCCGCACGACCTTTTGCTCATTGTCAAGCATAGGCCGCCCAAAATGCGTGGCTGCTGCAGCAAGATACTCCGCAAGCGTGTTGTGAGTGGTGGACTTGACAAACGCTGCTGCGGCTTCTTCGAAGCTATGAGAATCCTGCTCAGCTTGCTGCTGCTCCGGCTGGCTTGTGTGTTTTGCTCTTCTGGCCTTCTTCCTGGCACTCTTTTCGTCTAGAATGTCAGAAAGGTCATCTTGAGGCTCAGGCTCAAGAATGGTGGCCAAAACGTCCAAGCCAGGAGGAGGCGGGTCAGAACCCAAGCGGCTTGTGTGATGCTCGAGCCACGTCAAGTTGCTGTGGATGAGGAGGAGGAAGGTTTCCGGGTGTAACCCATTTTTTAAGCACAAGGCTTTGGCGGCCTCAATGTGTGGGAGTGGAGCCATACCAGAGATGGAGAAATCATAGCGCATGGCCAGCTCGCGGTGAGTGCGCTTGTCTGCCACCATAGCGTCCAGGAGATTGTGCATGGTCTTCTCAATGGTCGCCTCATCGCTGAAGCCATCAAATAGATCCGGTGGGAAGGTTGCCTTGGCGAATTCCTGGATCGTCTCCGCAGACATCACCTTGTCGCAAAAAGCTTCAGCCGGGTCCCTATCCGATTTCAAGGCAGCTGCAACGGTGGCATCCGGCAGGCTGAAACCAAAGTCCGCGTCTTGCACAATGTGTTCGTCATGCGGAGTGGACAGCTGGGAATTTGGAAGGTCTTGTGTTCCTGGGGATCTTTCAGCTTCAAGATGCATTGGACCCGCTTGAGAGGGCTGAGTTGCTGGCACTTCTTTCTGCGTAGCCACATGAACCGCAGGGGCACAAATGCACCGGCAGGTCGGACATGTGACACTAGCCTCCCAATTTCGTAGCTTGCACAACCTGCGGCAACAATCCTGATGCATCATGTGTCCACATTCTAAGTCCAGCCGGATCTCACCCTCCTCAAACTCTAGGGTGCACACTGCGCACGCCATAGCTGGAGAGAATGTTCAACTAAGGAGCGGCGCCAAAGTACAAATCCGTAGTTCATATTGTCATGTGGTAGCGTATCTGCTCATGGATATTGAAACATGCTTTGACTCATGGACTACCATGTCACCATGTCTATAGATTCCAGGACCTAAACTTTCTGAGCCAGGAGCAGTGCACCATTATTGACTCAACTGAGTTCGTGATGAGGGGCTGGGCCGTGCCCTGTCCCCGACGCTGGGCCGTGCCCTGTACTGCCTGCTGGGCCGTGCCCTGCTGGCGAATGGCATCCATGCTCGCGTTACGCGCAGGCGCCGAAAGGGAGGGTACCGGCATTGAGAGGGAAAAGGAAAGAGATGCGTCGGATAAACAAAGGGAGGCTACGGGAGCGGATAGGAAGACTCTTATTGCGGAATGTCAAGCTATGAGCGCGTCCACCAGGGACCATCACATGGCTGTCTGGTAGCATGAAACTAAGGCGCGGTGCCTGAACGATCATCTTCACAACATTATTCCTGTACTCTGGCGCAAGATCAGGCTTGAGCAACACGCGGCACGGATGAACGTACTTGAATGTACAATATACCAGGTACCAATCTTCTTTTCTGCTGCTTCTTGCAAAGTTTTCATCAATCGATCGATATTTGTCTTTCCCACCTGTGCCTGTGCCTCATGCATCAACTGGCTGGCAACCAAACTGCCTTGGGAGCGTGGGATCGCCTGGCAAGGCGAGCCGACGTGGGCCCCAAATGTTGCAAAGAAGCAAACGATGCAAGCAAGCGCACATCCTCAGGAGCTGCTCTTTCTGCGGCACCTGACATGCGAAACCCACAAACACAGCCAACAGCTTCTTGCAAGAGTGTGGTCAAGAAATGATGCTCAGAACAGAACGGGGCCTAGCGATGGGTCCTGACCAGGCACTGAGTCTGCAGCTGGATCCTCAGGGAGCAAAAGAAGGAGTGTCATTCTGCAACTACGTTTACGCAGCGTTTACAGAACAGTGACCAGAACACAGCACTCAAGTGCGTACGGTACGTCAAATCCAGCAGTGAAGCAGTGAAAAATCCAACAGCTGGCAACGACCCTCTGCCCAAGTCTGATGTGGTTCGCTGGAAATTGGGGAATGTACACTGCCAGTCACCTAGAGGCTGTTCTGACATGCCAGGTCGCATGTTCAGCTGGAACACAGTGATTGATGACTGGAACACCTTCCTCCAAAGCTCTGCCACTTTGAAAGCATTGACGGACATGGCTTTCACACACTGAAAATGAATAAGCGTTGACTAGGAAAGGTGTGTCTAGACGTTTAGAAATTGCATGGTTGAATTTGCTTGCTGAAAAGGAAAGGCGACTTTGCTTGCTGAAAAGGAAAGGCGACTTTGCTTGCTGAAAGTGAATGTCTGGCTGTGTGGCCTAGTGACAGAGGCCAACCACTTGCTGTGAGCCTATATACGTATAGTCCTTGGGAAAATCGACTTGGAATTGGCAGGTTGAAACTAACATGCCACTTTCAGCAAACTCAAAAAAAATCGAAAAATGGAAACTAGGAAATATGTGGTAAATATATCATCCAGATTGTTGAGAGAAATTGTCTTGATAATATAATGTTTCTTTTTATGGTTCTTTAGAGAGGTATCACTGTTCTGAAGTAACTGTTATTGTTCAGGAATACCTGTGGTGGTGTCGTCGTACCCTCTTTATTCAGGGGTCATCGGATCTGGCCAACGCTGGTCAAGTAGCTTGTCACGTCCACCGACGAAAAAAGAACACAAAGACAGGCAAGCATGTGTGTATGTCTGTATGCGCGAAAAGAATCCGTGCGAACCGGTGCGAACCGGTGCGAACCGGTGCGAACCGGTGCGAACCGGTGCGAACCGGTGCGCATCAAATACCGGACGCGCGCGATGTTACAATGCATGATATTGCTGTCCTAATCTTTGCTGCTTTACATTTTGAAACATTTGAAGTTGTCCAAGGTGCAAGATCCTTCAGCTGCCTTGGCGGCAGCCTGTGGATCAGCGAAAGGGAGTCAACTGGGGATATCATTTCAAATGGGGCTCCATAAGAGCAAACCAGCCAAAGAAAATGCTACAAGGAGCAAGGAGCAAACATTGAGCAAACGATATTTGGTCAAAAAAAACATCAAGTTGACCTGGATCTACAGTACTTAATCTGGGTAAATTATAATAATTCACTAACCTGAATTAAGGCCATTTTGGGATGATTTCCCTTATTAACCATGATTCCAGTGAGGTCGCAGTGAGGTCGTTATAATTTACCCAGACTTAATCACCCAAATGCTCAACAAACCCACATTGGCGCCACCGGCCTTTCCAGCTTCCTCGGCCGCCTTCTCTGGTGACGCCGTGGTCGTTTCTTTGGCCACTTTGGCCGCCGCGGCGCCCGCAGCGGCCGCGGCGGCGGCCAGGGCGTTGGTCTGTGCGGGTTGGAGCATCCCAAAAGAAGCAATTAGGAAATATCAATTGAAATTAGAATGATCCAATTAGGATATTTCTATAACACATAATTGATGTAATATGTTATAAACCAATTAGGATTCAATAATATCAATTGAAAGTAATGGTAGATATTTCTACAACAAAATTATAAACCAATTAGGATTCAGTCTTCAGATCATTCATAAACTGTTTTTTTTGACATTGCCAGCTGCACTCACAACAACTTTAGATTAGAAAAACACCATCACTGATGTTCTGATTCCCTCCTACTTCAAGGCATTTCCGGGATCTTGGATGATCAAGTGCATACGTTGTATATCCTATTTTGTATATAGTATATACATGTATATATATATATATATGTATATGTATATATATATATATGTATCTGTATATATATGTATCTTTATATGTATATATCTGATATTCGCATTTTACTTGGGTTTACAGCCCACTTAAAGCCCTGCAGCTGCCTGGCTCAAGTTGTGTTTCATGGCCATATCTTTGGCGGCCTTGGCTGCTTCTACTGCCACCTGCCGAGCCATGCAGTAGCTTGGCTCAATGGTGATTCATCATGATCCTCATGAAAACAAACATCATAATGTGGTGGTTTCCTGAAATGTGTTGGTTTCCTGAAATGTGACAATCATCCTCATATAATGTGGTGGTTTCCTGAAATGGGGGTACCCCCAAAGCATCCATTTAATGGGTTTTCCATTATAAGCCAACCATTTTTGGATTCCCCCATTTAAAAAAATATGGAAACCCCCATGTGTATCCCTAATAATCGATCAGACTCGTAAAACAACAAGTGACTTGACTGGCCTCTGGCGCACTGAGTGATTTCTTCAGAGCCTCCTCTGCACCGACCTGCGTTGGTTTTGAGTACCATGACTGACTGGTCTTCCATTTGGTTCTACCAGGTCTCTTCATTGCCATATCTTGTGCAGGAAAAAACTCTACTACTCTTGTCTTGGATTTTTCCAATTCACTCCTGGATTCCAATGGGTGAATTTTTCCCATTTTCTACTTCCTCTCATCAACGGAGTGGGAAAATCTTCACCGGAAACCATTTTTGTTTTCCCATGAAAGATGGGGATTTCTGCTTAAGATTTTCCCACCAATCCATTGATCTTACGGCGGAGCCATCCCTGCCTGGCCCGCAGCCTTGGCTGCAGCCAAGGCCTGGCGCTGTTGCAGTGCAGGCAGGGCCATGCCCAAACCTGGCGGAGATGCCCGTGGAATGGGGATATATTGGGGATACCTACATGAAAAATCTAGACTCTGAGAACATGTGCATTTGTTTGATGGAAAATTACAGGAAGAACATGGAACAAGAATCTATAGATGATTTTGCACCCACTGAATTCAATGTTTCAGGTTGTATACCGCTATAAGTGTTACAAACGGGATAACCTCTGGGACTTATGATTATCAGGGTCATCAACTACTTACCAACTCGGTTGCCTTTGACCTTTTCAACTGCAAAGTGAAAGGGTCAGAAAGCTCTGGGGCCCAGCTCTCCTATCTGGTTGGTAGACTTCAAGTCGCAAGTACCAAGCTGTCACCTAAGCAATCCGTAGCTTCTTGCCAAAGAAAGCGTTTATATCATTCAACGCCCCACCTCATCACAACCTCGTTTTGATCAAGCAAAAATTGACGAAAAGGGACGCATCCCCACATGTACGATCAATTCTTCAGCTAGATGTTCTTTTACGGTTGAGAATTGTTGATTAGTAGAGCTAGATTGGAGCGGCCAATGAAACCACAGCCGGGGAAATCATCCACTATTCATACATCATATCATACTCACTGTGGTTTAGTGTTAACAGCAAATATGCACCACGATTCAGTTTGCAAAGGTTTGCATCACCATGATTACATCCATACGTTCAACATGGAATCGAAAATGAAACTCCTATTTATGACACTCTTGCACAACAACACGCTACACGCGACTGCACACATTGGAAAATAGATGTAAATAGGACTTTCTGGTGAAAAGGCAAGAGAGACAGCTGGAGAAAGAGCAACACGACTAAGGAACGTGCCTGGATTCGGAGGATCTTCGGACTAAGCATCGGGAAGGTCTAGACCTACATTCAGATTACTGTTGCATCTTAGAACGGAATTAGTGGAGCGCTTACAAAATGGATCTTTCAGACCCAGTCCATAGATTGGGCACACAAAAGAAAGGTCAAGGTGCAATGAATGATTTGTGGAAAATCACTACCATGGATGGATTTACATCCCGACCTGCTTGGTGACACCCCCACATCTGCGAGCTAATCTCCCAGCATTTCGTTGCTTGGCCATGAAATCGCAATGAAACCAGAATCAGGGTAGTATACGGCTATTCACAATCAAACTATATAAATCCCATGATAAATCCACTAGTTGGATCTATTTTGGGGGATGACCATTCAACACAACCAGCAGTAACCAGCAATTTTGGGCACCGAACACCCAACTTTCGCACCTGCAGCCGCCTCTGCGGCCGCCGCCGCTGCTGCCCGGCCAGCTGCTTCGGCAGATGCGGAGCCCGTGGCGAAACAGCGCTCTGCCATGACTTTGCCAGCCTTGGTGGCCAGTGAAACAGTTCCAGCTGGAAAAAATTGGGAGATGTCATCTGGAAACCTATGGCTGATTCTAATGGGACTTTGTTTTTGAAGGGTTCATTTCAAGGGGAGTAGAGACTCTTGAGAAAACCAATCCTGGTGTCTTCAGCTCTGTCTTTGGGGAGTTAACATTTTTGAAACAGATGTCGTCTTTGGGCCTTTAAGGAGTCAACATTATTGAAACGGATGACATGATGTATGACATCATCACTTTGCTCGGCTTGAAAAATCCCACTGAATGATGGGCAAGTGTCCACCGCTGCTGCCAGGTCCACTGTCAGATCCGCTGAAGCACCCAACTGTCGGGCTGCCTGGAGAGAAATGGATATCATGGATGTCAAACATTGACTTATTTTTGCACTCACTGGGGGATTTCCTAATATGGGGGTACCCTTAATTATCAATTTTAGTAGGAATTTGGGGATTTCCATTATAAATTTCCATTACACACCAACTATGAGTATGATCCTATGGTTATTTGAGTAGGATTTTCCATTGTAAACCAACTTTTTTGGGGATCCCCGTGCCGGTGCCACCGGCCTTGATGGCTGCCTCCCCGGCCGCCGCCGCGGCACTCTCGGCCGCGGCACCGCCGGCGGCGGCGCTGGCAGCTGCGCCGGCGGCGAAGGCTGCGGAGGTCAGGGCGTTCCTCCCGGGGATGGTGCTGCTTCTGGGGTCATGGAGAATTCATGGGTCCCTAATGAATGATAGAGATAATCAATAATATAGATAATAAATATAGATGGGAATGTAGATGGGAATAACATAATAATAATGGTATCATATATATATATCCATATTTCATGATAGAGATATAGATATAGAATTGATATAGATTATAAATGATAATAATCGAAATAATTCTGGGATAATCTATATGGGAATCTGGAATATATATGGTGATTTCAAGCAACTTTTAATGGGAAAACATGGTTAATACTAATCTTTTTTTATGGGCGGCCCATCATCGACCTAAATTATTGGGAGCTTTCCCTGCAGATCCATGGAACAACCAGCCTTCGAAGGCTGGTTTCCCATGTGTGATAGCTCACCTGGGGGCCCGGTGGGATACTTTTTGATCAACACATGGACAATTTCGACACAGTTCTTTCGCAGAAAGTGGGGCAACCCCAGGCAGCCTCTTTGAAACAGCCATGGAAGTGGATATAGCAAAATCATTTTCGAGGCTCCTTTCCCATTCCCATTCTTGTTTCAGGTATAATATTTTGGTAATCAAATATGGCAATCGAAATTTCACCAGTAACTTTTGCCAAGAAACTTGGAGTTTCAACTGCATTTCCCAAGATCATTATCCCATTAAAATCCATATTTACCATGCTTTTCCCACGATTTTCCCATGGATTTTGCCCATGTCGCACCACCCCTGAGCCTCTGCGCTGCACCCTGCCGTTTGGCACAACGAAAGGCCGTGTTGGCCGCTGCCAGTGGCGCAAAGGCCAAGCCGCGTCGCAGCGCCAGTTCCTTGGGTAACAACAACAAGAGGATGATAGAACTACCCTTTGGTAAGTTAACATAGAAAAGCATATTTTTTAATAAATAGGTAAATCAACTGTAAATGGCCATTTCCAATATCATCAATAGCTACGTTAAATGACCAGAGGGTAATACAAAATATATTCTCACAAACATAAGGATATCATGGGATATCACCAACAAACTCATGGAATTTCCAGGTGGAGACCTGAATATTGCTTCAGGCATTTTGGCACTTGGGTTTCAAAGGTTAGCAAGTCCAAAGCCCGAATTCCGCTGTTTCCATACATCCCCTATCTCTTTTTACTAGGTGGAATGCAAGAACAATGAATACCAATCAAGAGTATGTAGTATTGACAACAAACACAAACATAAGGTGCTGGTCAGCGAAATTGGATGTTCTACGGATTCAGCATCTGCTTCAAGCTGGGCTTTCAATGCTCACATTTCAATCACCTATATATCTATAGATATTCTCCAGTAGAAAGCAACAAAATAAATCACCTATATATATCTGTATATATATGTATATATATATATATCTGTATATATATAATTATATATATATCTGTATATATATATATATATATCTACATCTTTATATATCTACATGGGTAACTGTCCTTCCATTGGCTGTGTTTTCGCTGAGCATCCGCCGCCACCTCGCCAGCCAGCTCGCTGGAGAACTTGGGCACCAAATCCTCAAAGATGGCCATCATTTTCATCATTTTCCCAACATAAAACATGGGTCATTAAATGTCCCCATTGAACATCACCCAACCATTAGGTATATGGTCTATAATGGCTACTATAAGGTGATGTTCAATATTCCCAAAATGGGACATTTACCAACCCCTGATAAAACATGTAGAAAAAACACCATATGTTTGAAAAACCATATGGAATTTCGAAAGATCATGACTCTACCCTATTTTGATCCGAAGGTCTTTCCCCTGGTATCCATGTTCTCCGGGATGCCGACAATTGGCCGACAAACCCACTGGGATCACCATCGATGGATAGGTTGCCTATATTCTTCCACAGCTGTTCTGGGCTTTGACCACATACTTAGTAGTTGATCTCTATTGACATTTGTGTCATTTTCGCCGATTCTCATGACTTGCGAATCATCCTCTTTTGTCACAAGAATGACTACCCTCTGGCTGGAAAATCACTGAAATGAATGGATGTTTCTAGCTGGAAAAATCATCCAACTAAATGGTCGATTTTCCAGCACGCCATGTTTCATTACCAGAGGGTTCCCCATTCATATTCCCATTCATATGCCAACTCCCAATCATTTTTCCATTCATATGCCCATTCCCAGTCATTTTTCCATTCATATGCCCATTCCCAGTCATATGCTTAGTCCCATTCATATTCCCATCATGTCCATTCAATTTCATTCACATGCCCATAATTTCGTCATAAACATGGTGACTTTATGGACGCTCGCCGGTCAAGGTGCCGAGTCCAGACCATGGGCCTGACAGATTGGCGGTGATGTTTCAGACATAAAACACGTATAAGAAATAAACAACATATCCTGACTATAGAAACACACACATTATATATATAAATACCATTAAGGAAAATAAATTTAACCAAACCCTTATGGATTTCCAAAATTCACCTCAAATCAGAGCGCTTGATCAAACGACTCACGAAAACGGAGGTCTTGTCCTTCATCATTCCATGCAACATGATTGCCTCCATGAATGAATCTGTGAATCAGAAAATATAATTTCTTGATTTTGATGTCAGTCCAAATGTGAAACAAGGGCAATCAAATTAAACAAATGCCCCATCATGAATTTTAAAGGCTTGTTATGAATTGGCTTGCTGATTTCACGGTGCTTTTCCACGAGTTGCCAATGGCCCTTTACCACTTCTCGTCCCTGAATTGACATAACTTGTTTTTGGAGTATTTTCTTCAATTGACTGTCATTTCCCTTAGGGTCTCTTACCATCAATATAGAAGGTCATCTGCCTTGCTTGACTGAAACATGTGCGTGGTGTCTAGGATTTGTTGGCAGCATTCGCGTCAGCAAGCAAAATGCCATCCTATGCTGATTCAGATCGTCATTCTTGCATCGCAGAATCTAATACTAAACATTGCCCATTGAATCCCGACTTGAATTTGCAATCTGTTGCATATCACAACAATATATACATATATAACATCTATATAACATCTATATATATATGAATACTGACAACATACACGAATTACATATACATCAATAACACATGCACATGGTGTTTAACATATGCATGCACACACAATATGTATATACATTATCATTAACTATCATTACATGGATTACAACTATGTTAACTATCTATACATGGATGATAAACTACGGGTATTAACCACTTACTATGGTGCTGTATATGTAATTACATAAATAATCAGAGGTGTACATTAGACAATATATATTCTAGATATTACATATTAAATCCCTAAAACCATGATTAGCCATTAACAGCCATTCTTAACCATTAATATCCCATTAATTCCATTAATTATGAACCATTACATTTACGTAAATGGGATATTAATGATTTATAAACCAATAACCATTGATATCCCCTATTGATCCCTTTGATTATAAACCATTACATGTGCCCTCTGATAATGGTCACTAATTACGATTAATAACGGCCATAAATGTTAATAGTTAACACTATATGGTTGACCATATTCACAATTTAGGGACAACCATTACATATACATCAACAGTTTAATATATAACCATTATATAGCAATTCTTGAGCATTATGAACCATTATTAGAAACTAAAACTATATATATATATGTGTACATATATATATATATGTATATATATATATATATATTAATATGTATATATATATATATCTCAATATGTATATATATATATGGAGAGATACATACATAATATATATATACACATACATCTCTATATCATATACATAATATACACATATTGATGCGCGCATAAAGAATTGATACCCCCTCCTCCTCTCCCAGCGTTGCCAAGGCACAAGTCCAGCAGCCGCTGCCACGCGTCCCGCTTCCTCCGAAGAGGCGCCGCCGGGTGTTGTCGCGGCCGCGGCCACGTAGGCTTCGCCTACGAAAGCACCGTTTTGGGATTGATACAATTTGGATATCACTGGGGATAGTATAATAGATATCTAAAATAGATATAATCATTCTTTGGGATAACAGGATCCATTATTTCCAGAATCCCAATTGTAGATATCCCATAGTAATGGATATAATAGATATACTTTGGGATTTTTAGATATGATTCTTGGGATATCATGATAATTTTTAGATTATTCATGGGAATATCATGGAGATATAATGGAGATAATCTATCTATATATATATATATATCATCCCCCTCCCCAGGGGTTTTGTACACCCCCCCTCCCCTTCATACATTTTTTGTAATGTATGAACATAGGGGGGGACACCGTCGATTTGAAAAAGTCAATTTACATATTGCATGTGAAAAGTATGAAGCCCATGGGGGAACGGTGTTCCCCCATGGCCTTCATACATTAACTCAATAATGTATGAAACCTAGGGGGTAGATGCCCCAGCCATCTCTTATTCATTTTTCTATAATGTATGAAAGTAGGGGGGGAGGGTGTTGTTTTGCCGCGAGGGACTGATACCTTAAAATGTATGAAACCTAGGGGGGACACCGTTGATTTTCTTCAAGCAGAAATCATGGGAACGACTTTTCAGACATGACGACTTCCATCAAAATCTGCTGCTTTTCTCTCCAGCTGTTGTCACGGTACAAATTGAGATTAGTTGAGCTGCATACCCTGCACAGGTCTATCGAGGCCTCGGTTTCTAAGTGATAGTAAGATATGATGATGTTATCAACTTACATGGAAATCTCTGAAAGAACAAAATACTTCTAATAAAATACTTCTATATAATGTCAAAAACGATTTGAGGGCTGCAATGTGATAGTCGGATATGGTTAGATAAGGTTTGATTTGGTTTGACACACACACACACACATCAAAAAAAGAACAAGATCCAATAGAATCCTTTTACGTCCTTGTGTAGCAAACAAGACCGACCTCATAGAAAATAAGTGCTCTGACGATGCCAAAAATGTATGAATGAAGAGTCACCAGAAAAAAACAACAAAAGCAAAAAACAAAAACACCAAAAGACAACCATCAAAACCTGGAGTTTGACAAGTCTTCATTATTTTGTGTTTTCCTAGTTTGTTTTTTTTCTGTGTGCTCTGGTTTTGTATTCTTTAAACCCCTATATTCTTTATGCTGTTCGGCTCAAAAGCCTGGTATACAAAAAGGTTCAAAACAAACTCCTTACAGTCATTTTTGGCTCGAAAGAAAAAGAAGAGTCAAAAATGTATGAAAGGAAGGGGGGACAGGCCCACCCCTCCTTAGAATACATTTTCTGAATTTCTGGGTTCGATATGATTAGACTTGAGATTAGACTTTAGACATGGCTGGATATGGTTGGATATGGTTGGATACACACAAAATCCAATCAAATCCCTTTGTATTTCCTTGTATACAAACAAATACTACCTTACACATGTTTTTGGATCAAGAGAAAAAGAAAGTTCGAAAAGGTATGAAAGGGGGATGGGGACAGGCTCACCCCTTCTTGGAATACATTTCTGGGTTAATTATGATTAGATGTGGTCCTGGTTAGATCTGGTTGGATACACACAAACTTCCGTTCATTTGCCCTTGTAATCTGCCACCGGCTTCAACAGAGAAAGTTGATTCCAGCAAAAAATGAAAAACATAAAAACAGACACACAATCAAAACACAGAATCACCAAAAACAACCCGACAAGATTCACCAGAAAAAACAACAAAAGCAAAAAACAAAAGCCACAAAAAAAAACAATCAAAAACTGGAGTCTGACAAGTTTTGATTATCTTGTGTTTTGCTAGTTTGTTTTCTTTCTGTGTGCTCTGGTATTGTATTTTTTAAACCCCTATATTCTTTATGCTGTTCGGCTCAAAAGCCTGGTATACAAAAAGGTTCAAAACAAACTCCTTACAGTCATTTTTGGCTCGAGAGAAAAAGAAGAGCCAAAAATGTGTGAAAGGAAGGGGGGACAGGCCCACCCCTCCTTAGAATACATTTTCTGAGTTTCTGGGTTCGATATGATTAGACTTTAGACATGGTTGGATATGGTTGGATATGGTTGGATACACACAAAATCCAATCAAATCCTTTTGTATGTCCTTGTCTACAAACAAATACTACCTTACATATTTGTTTGGGTCAAGAGAAAAAGAAAGTTCGAAAATGTATGAAGGGGGGGGGACAGGCTCACCCCTCCTTGGAATACATTTCGAAAATATGTGGTCCTGGTTAGATTTGGTTGGATACGCAAAATTCCGTTCATTTGCCCTTGTAGTCTGTCACCGGCTTCAACAGAGAAAGTTGATTCCAGCAAAAATTGAAAAACATAAAAAACAGACACACAATCAAAACACAGAATCGCCAAAAACAACCCGACAAGATTCACCAGAAAAAACAACAAAAGCAAAAAACAAAAGCCACAAAAAAAAAACAAACAAAACCTGGAGTCTGACAAGTTTTGATTATCTTGTGTTTTGCTAGTTTGTTTTCTTTCTGTGTGCTCTGGTACCAATTATTTTTTAAACCGCTATATTCTTTGTGCTGTTCGGCTCAAAAGCCTGGTATACAAAAAGGTTCAAAACAAACTCCTTACAGTCATTTTTGGCTCGAAAGAAAAAGAAGAGTCAAAAATGTATGAAAGGAAGGGGGGACAGGACCACCCCTCCTTAGAATACATTTTCTGAATTTCTGGGTTCGATATGTTTTTAGACTTTAGACATGGTTGGATATGGTTGGATATGGTTGGATACACACAAAATCCAATCAAATCCTTTTGTATGTCCTTGTATACAAACAAATACTACCTTACATATTTGTTTGGGTCAAGAGAAAAAGAAAGTTCGAAAATGTATGAAGGGGGGGTGGACAGGCTCACCCCTCCTTGGAATACATTTCGAAAATATGTGGTCCTGGTTAGATTTGGTTGGATACGCAAAATTCCGTTCATTTGCCCTTGTAGTCTGTCACCGGCTTCAACAGAGAAAGTTGATTCCAGCAAAAATTGAAAAACATAAAAAACAGACACACAATCAAAACACAGAATCGCCAAAAACAACCCGACAAGATTCACCAGAAAAAACAAAAGCAAAAAACAAAAGCCACAAAAAAAAAAACAAAACCTGGAGTCTGACAAGTTTTGATTATCTTGTGTTTTGCTAGTTTGTTTTCTTTCTGTGTGCTCTGGTACCAATTATTTTTTAAACCGCTATATTCTTTGTGCTGTTCGGCTCAAAAGCCTGGTATACAAAAAGGTTCAAAACAAACTCCTTACAGTCATTTTTGGCTCGAAAGAAAAAGAAGAGTCAAAAATGTATGAAAGGAAGGGGGGACAGGCCCACCCCTCCTTAGAATACATTTTCTGAATTTCTGGGTTCGATATGTTTTTAGACTTTAGACATGGTTGGATATGGTTGGATATGGTTGGATACACACAAAATCCAATCAAATCCTTTTGTATGTCCTTGTATACAAACAAATACTACCTTACATATTTGTTTGGGTCAAGAGAAAAAGAAAGTTCGAAAAATTATGAAAGGGGGGGGGACAGGCTCACCCCTCCTTAGAATACATTTCGAAAATATGTGGTCCTGGTTAGATTTGGTTGGATACGCAAAATTCCGTTCATTTGCCCTTGTAGTCTGTCACCGGCTTCAACAGAGAAAGTTGATTCCAGCAAAAATGACGAACAAAACAAAAAACAAAAACACAATCAAAACACAGAATCGCCAAAAGCAACCCGCAAAATTCACCATATAAAACAACAAAAACAAAAAAACACAAAAACGGCAAACAACATCAATCAAAACCTGGAGTTTGACAAGTTTTGATTATTTTGTGTTTTCCGAGTTTGTTTTTTTCTGTGTGCTCTGGTTTTGTATGTCTTAGACCCTGTATTCTTTATGCTGATCGGCTCTTTCGGCTCAACAAGCGAGGGGTGTGGCCAAAAAAGGCATTCGGAAAAACGGCGGCCGGCAAATCATTCATGTGTTTTTTCAGTTCAGCAACTTGGGTGTCTAGAAAAAACACGAAAAGTATAAAACTAGGGGGGCAGTGAATTCCAGCTGACTTATGAATATCGAAAAATAGACACACGCACGTAAAATGTATAAACCTCAGGGTTCATGGAACACTGAGGAATCCTGGGGATGCCCACGGAATGGTTGTCCAACACGTACGTAAAAAGTATAAAGGCTCAGGGGTTTAAAACCCCTAGGAACCCCAGGAATTCCAAAACATGTGCAAAATGTATCAAACTAGGGGGGGGGGGGGTTCGAACTGCCTTTGTCCACCCCATCCATCTTAGACCCCCCCCGGGAACGTTACGTGGTGTATAAAATTGTTCCCTGGGGAACTCTAGGAAGAAACACGTAAAAAGTACATTTTTGGGAGCGTACCCCCCCCCTCTCTTGTACTTTTTACGGGGGTGGGTGATTATATATCATTATATATCCCTGGATAATTGGTGATTATCAGGTCATATCCTCCAATTTCATCTCAAGTTATTGGCGGGATGCACTTGTATCCAACTATCATGGTTCAGAATGAAATCCCATAATCGGGATTATACATCCCCGTTACCCAAAATTGTATAATTGTATCCCAATTTTGTGTTTTTTCCCAAATCTTTGGATGAACCCTTTTCTGGTAACAAGGTGTGCATGTAAGCAGCTTGAAACCCTTGAGTGGATGACATTCCAAGATGGGTTCGAAAGGCTGGGGCGATGTGGAACTGGAAGGGCACGTCACTGTCCCAGAAACGAAGAAGATACATTCTGCAACTGAATTCTGAGTACACAAATGCAATATCCAAGATTTAGACCAGATTCTAGGAAATTCTTCCATGGAAACTGGTTACGCAGTCCATGAACCAACCATTCATCACTGCCGGTAGCAATCCAAAAGAGATGCGGGGAAACCAGATGTGGCAAGACCAGCAAGTGCTTGGATGGTCACATTGTGATCTACCACTCTGAAAATCACCAATTATCAGTGGAAACTCATCTTTCCAACCGCTGGCAGGGTCGAACTGTTAGTTGGAGTTTAGGGTTGGTGGCCTTGCCCGGGAAGGCGATACTCAGGGCGCGCAATGTTCACGTTGTACAGAACAGACATTGAAGTGGATTGGACATGGACTGATTGGACTGATTTCAAACATGGAGGTTTCCAATCCATGGTACCTCCAGTTATCATCCATATACCCTCTGGTAAACTAACATATATGACATAACTATGGAAAATAACCATCTTATAGCTAGGTAAATCAACTATTTCTATGGGCCATTTTCTATGTCGCTATCTAGCAAATTACCAAAGGGTAAGCCATTTTTCCATGAAAACCATCCAGTTTTTTTCGCCATCCAGCGGATCATCCCCAACACACCTGCTGCTCGCAGCGCGGCTTCTGCCGCCCTGGAAGGCTCCAGGCCCTGCTCCTGGCCGTGCTTGGCAGCAGCTGCTCCTGAACGATGCTGGGAAAAACATGTGGGGATAAGTGCTAAGGAAAGCAACTATCACTACGTTTTTTAAAATCTTTGATTTGCCATGATATGAAATTTTAAGGTTTTCATCTCCATTTTTTATGTGAACAAAAACGTTGGGAAGATGGGGGGCAGTGGGCAATTCTTCCCACAAGAAATTACACCTTAAAGTCTTTGGGATGTCGACTGTGAAGTGGCAAAAGACGCCCAAAAGTTTGCTTCCTCATCCCAGAAAGGTCCAGTTTCTCTCACACATCTTTGGGGACAATATCCTAATGTTTATGTTCGATTCTATTGATCGCAATTACTGACCCTTCTTAACCATTATTAACCCCGAAAACAGCCATTTAAGGTAAGTCAAATAATGGTTTATCATGGTAATGGTGAATCCTTCTCCCACGGTTTTTCCCTGACCATGCTGGTTATTAACTGCTAGTAACACTCACTGGTTCATTATTGGGTTTGTACCCGTACTTAAAGCAATCTCCAAAAAACACATCACTATTTTAATGAGATTTCCCTTTCAATCTTTTTTTGGGATTATTGATCATCTGTATATGGTTTTGGTTGATACTGGTTAATAATGGTTGATAATGGTAGATAATGGCTAATAAGGGTTCATAGTGGATGATATATTGATTACTGCACACCGAGGCTTCCTAAAATAGGCATGTCCCCAAATGATCCATTTTCAAAACGATTTTCCCTTTTGGGGAGCTCCATTTCAAGAAACCACCAAATTGTTAATGATGTTTGAAAAAGGTTGATAATGACTAATAATGGTTGTTAATGGTTGATAATGGCTAATCATGGCTTATTATGGTTGATAACGGTTGTCCATACTGCTTGATATATTGATTGCTACATCTATCTATCTATCTATCTATCTATCGATCTATCGATCGATCGATCGATCTATCTATCTATCTATCTCTCTATCTCTCTCTCTCTCTCTCGCTACCTCTCTGTCTGTCTGTCTGTCTATCTATCTATGTATATATATATATATAATTATATATATATAAGATTAATAGTGGTTCATACCCATTGTCATGGCGACACCTGCGTATTCTCCGCACTTCTGCGCTGTGGCGCCCTGTTGCAGCGCGGCCAGCTGTGCGCTCTTGGCGGCCGCGCGGGCGGCTTCTAAGCCGCAAAGCTCCTAGCAAAATTCCCATGAATCACCAGGAATATCCCATGAAATCCCATGATTAATATGGGTAAACAACAATAAACCATACCCAGTCATCACCATGTTTATAGGTGGTAGCGATATAAACCATTCCCAAATGGGTAGTTTATGATATTGTTTTACCAACATTATATGATTATAATTTGAGGCTGATATTCTGTAGATTTTTCCCTATTTTTTGGCCATGAAACCTGGGTGGAACTCGTGAAATCTGTGACACTTCACTCAGTGATGTATGAAATCCGCGAAGTATGGAATGCAGCATTTTGAAACAAAGTAGGAATGCTACAAAATGTCAAGGTAGGCAGTATTCCAATTGAAAAAAATAATGTGCCTTCAAACGGATTGTATACCTCAGAAGCTTGACTATTAACTATTCCGAAGGTTCCTCTGGCTGGGAAGCTTGAGACGGATCAGCACAATCCTTGCAGTTTGTGTAGTTTGTGTCCCCAAACTGTATATAATGAGTTCAAAAAAATTCAACAGATTGGCTAGACGCCTTGTTTTTGGCCATGCCCAACGATAGACCTCGGTTTGTCAGGACTTGATGGCGTCCCTTTTCAGGAGCAGCTCCGCCCGGCTGAGGGTCTCCAGCTCTGCCAGTTTGCTCAGCGTTACCTCAAGGTGCTTAGAGTTGTAGAGCTTGTTGGAGTTCACGCCGGGTCATGCTGATCCACGTCTGCAAGGTGAGCTCTATCTCTAGAGCCTTCTCTGCTTGGCGATACAGCACTACGTGTGCCACATCGAGCAGCTCGAGGAGCAGAAATTGCCGGGCATATCCCTTGATCCCACACCCAGACGTGAAAATGGACGGCCATCTGGAGATGCCGAATTTCATGACGCACCTGATCTTGCGTCGCAGCCTCCCGGAACTATAGGCAGCATTCGTCTTCTCGTAAGTTGTGACCATCTCCCATCCAGCATGGTTGCTTCCTTCTGAAGGTCGTACTTCAATCCCCATCAATCCCCAAGGTCTCCATTGGATCCATATGTCTTACGACAATTATCCACTGGATCCCAAAATTTTCCACATCTGCCTGGTGCCCGTTGCACCTTGGACAGTCCCGCCTTCAGCGCTGCCTCCGCGGCCCGCTGCGCCGCCTCCTTCGGTGCGGCGCCCCGCGCCACCGCCTGCGCCACGGCGCGCGCCGCGCTCTGCGCACGCGAGGCCCAGAGGCTGCTGCAGAGCGTGGCAAGGCGCTGGGCTTCGGTGGCCGGGAGACCTGGGAAATGGAGGATCTTGGTGGATACTGGTGGATACTCGAGGGATTCTCTAGCCGGCAAATTGCTCAATTAAGATATTTACGAACCACATATTTACACGTAAATAATTACATATTCCCGAGATTTAAAAAACCTTATCCCATCATAATAGGATTCATATTTACCAATATGCCATTTCCCTTCTATAGCCGCGATTTTTCATGGCTCATTTGCACCTGCATCGAGGCCAGTCTTCTCTGCTGCGGTGGCGGCAGCTTTGGCGACATCGCTGCCCTCCAGCATGGCGGCCTGTGCGGATCCATCGGGGGAACCATGGAATTTTTGATCCCCCAAAAGCCATCAAAAAAAGGGGAGTCTTGTCAAGCCAGAAAAATATGGGAGTTCAACAAGGAAAATATTGGAGTGAAACCAACAAACAAACCTTGGGTGACGAACAACGATTCGGAGTCGCCGCTGGGACTCCACGCCACGTGTCGTTGGCGAAGCTTGTGGATCCAACAGTGAGATTTTGGTCTCGAAACATCAGAGAAGCATCCAGCGTTTTTGGTGCCCAATATTGAACCCTGTCCAATGAAGTATCAGGCATATCGATATCCCCTCTCTTTCTTTCTTTCTCTCTTTCCACAGGGAGGGGGGTACCCACCCAATGGGGGGGGTGGTAGGGCCTCAGCAGCAATGGCCCCAGCCATCTCTACAGCAATCTCAGAGGCCTTCTCCTCCGATTTCTGGAACCAGCAACTGATTGGCTGATCATTGCAGGGCTACAGCGGCTACACCAACTGCCCGGTTGCTGAGAGGATTCCCTAGTTGACCGAAGAAAGACATGGTCAAGGTGTTGCCAGCCAAACGCAATATACTTCAACGTCCTTTGATGCGAAACCATTTTCATCTATGGTGCTGTCCGAAATAAGATTTCACCAGCACATCCTTTACTGTAAATGTTGGCATCTTGGTTTTCTAAAAAAATCTTTATAGCTTTACTGGTTGGTGGTTTTAACCATCTTGAAAAATATGAGCTCGTCAATGGGAAGGATTATCCCATATATTATGAAAAATAAAATGTTTGAAACCACCAGTTTGTGATAGCTTCCAATAAATTAGGTACCATACCATACTGTCCAAAAAAAAACTATCAGTTACTATCATCAGCACCCAACAGTCGTTGAAACACTGCCTTGGTTGCTATCCACCCTGCCGCATCCTCCAATCCCGCGGCTTTCCACGCCGCCGCGGCCGCCGCCCCGGCGGCCACCGCGCCGTCGCCCGCCGCGGCGGCCGCGCGCGCCGCGGCGCGGCCGCTTCGGCCGCGTCAGTGGGGTCCAGGAGGGCAGCGGCACCGGCCTGGCTGGGACAAATGGAACAAAAATGATGGAACCCCATAAAGATTTACTAGTATAATTTACTAAAAATCATGAATTGCTCATTAAAATGTCTAGTAAATTTCTACACCTTGGCTGCTGCCATGGCCGCCAGCTGCGCAACATCCGTGGATCCGGCGCGCAGTGCCAGGTCGCCAGCCACGCGGCCGGCAGCCTAGGACCAATGATAGGACTTTAATGAGACATGGGCATATCATGACATAATAACAATAAATAGTAATAATAATAGTAATCATAATAATGGTAATAGATCATACTAATAATATATAATGATAATATACTAGTAATAATGATAATGATAATCCATAATAGTAATTATAATAGTCCTAATAATAGTCCATGATGTCACTAATAATAATAGTAATCATAATCAAATACTAATAGATAATACTAATAATGATAATATACTAATAATAATGATAATGAACATGATGATCATAATGATGATCATAAGTCATCACATTATATAATTGTTGTATGGGTATATTTATTACAGGAACAGGATGCACATATCTATGGGATTTAACTATATAGCAAATCACATGATGGTCCCGCTTGGAAATTACAGTTGTCTATTTGTAGTATTATGATAGGAGATTTGAGAAAACAACAATGGTATCCCATTTTGAGTCTGAATTAGGGTGGGGCTGGTCTAGCCAACCAAGGAAAGGATTGAACGTCTCAAAATTGGAGATGTCCATAAAAAATGGAGACCAAATACCACAAGGGGTATGGCTCAGAAATGGGGCGTTCATGGACCCAAGATTCTAATCTTTAGATATGTAGTTGATGCCATTTTCTGTTTTTTTCAATGAGGTAAACTGGGGTAAACTCTCAAATCTACGCCATGGTGGCACTTCAGCCGATAACAACGAATTGTTCAGATCTGGAAATGTTACTTCGATCGTGTAGACCCAGCCCTGTTTTTGCCGAAATTTTGAAATCCGTGGATGGAAATCATTGCGCCGAGCTGTTGAAAATCAGGATCTGTAATTTCAGAAAAAAATCGAACAGCTAGGAAAGACATTCTACATGTTGGCTGGCTCTATCTCATTCAGCCAAAATGGTTTCATTTTGGCTTTGGTCTTATCCTAATGCTTAATGGGTTTTGCCCGGAAACGAAACTGTCCCCGCCAAAAATGGCGAAGTACGTGGTCCCGACTGTTTCATGGTTATGTGAAATCTAGCTCAATCCGGCTCAAGTGGACGTTCCAGTGCCCCAGACCTTATAGTAACATCGAAACAAATTTTAATTTGATGATATCTAGATGTGATAGATGAGATATTTATATCATACCTCCAGGTTTCTCACTATTCTACCATAACCCAAAAAGGGCAAGGGTTCCTTAAAATTTTTTAAACGGCCTCAAAAGCTCCAGGTTCCAATACCTCACCCCGCTAACCTCTGCAGCTGCCACTGCTGCTCGCTGTGCTTCAAAGCCCTGTGGGCAGCGGGAATTCATCGATGATCTGAGATGGTCAACGCTTTTGGACATTGTTTTGTACACCATGAAAACATTGTCTGGTTGGTGGTTTCAACCCCTCTGAAAAGTATTAGTCAGTTGGGATGATTATTCCCAATGTATGGAAAAAACATGTTCCAAACCACCAACCAGTTCTTTTCTACACCATAAAAAACTGTTGTGGATTCCAGAATTCCCAAACCAATATCTTGTTATGACCGAAACCAGGCCATCGGAAACATGCTCAGGCGAGTGATATAGCCCTCATCATGGGTGATATAGCTGATACCAGCCCGGGCAACCAGAGTTGCCGACTCCAAAGAATTGCCGACTTCTCCCGGCTTAAAAAGCTGCTTCTATGAACGCTCATTCTTGTGAATTCAATCCCCCTTCCTCTGTGCTACATCTCCATTTTTGTTGTTTACAAAAGCGTTTTTGTGATTGGGCGATGGATCAAAACCCTGTTGCTTTGAGTTTTCGAACCAACAACTAGCAAAAACACATCCCACCATGCTCAACCTCACCAGATGTAGCGTTAAGGTGATTGAACACTTCTATTTCCTAGTTCCCCAGTTGGCGGAACATCACCAAAATATGCAACACTAGTCATGTTGTTGGACGATATCCCCATGAACTTAGATGGCTATGGTCAAAACAATCAAGCGCCGACAATCCACGGTTTTTGATATTCAAAATGCCCAAGCAATTTCCATTGGTGCCTTACTGGTTTGATCCGTACCCAAAATCCAGGTTCTCTGGTGGTGAACCTTGCAAACACCAACACTATTCCCAATAAAGTGGCTATGATGATGTTGTTTGTTGGTCAATTGCTATTCGTATAGACAGGTGCAATAACCCCGACCAACCAACCATCATGTCAATTATCTCTTCATTATGATAGGCAACCCCCCTTGTTGATGCTTGAATCACCATGAAATAACAAATCAACAAACACGCCTTTAATTTTGGAATAGCCTGGCTTAGTGGCTTCGTGATCAAGGGGTCGTTAAAGCTCTGAAATTTATGAATTCAAGACGGATACCACAATAAATGGCTTATAAGAGCCAATCAACGGTTGGGTCATATATACATTCTATCCCAAACATATCACCATCAGTTTTTTTCACAACCCATATCATCACGTTATATCAAATCCCATTAGCATCCACGAACTGGAGCTAGCACTTTTTGTCCATGATATCATTAACCATCAATATCCCATTAGAAATCATTACTGGACATCCAATCCCATGTTAATATCCCTGGTAAAAAAAGGATTTATTAATGGAATGGACATGATATTAATATCCCATTTTTTACCAGGGATACCCTCTGGTAAACTGTCCCACAACTATGGAAAGATCCACCATTTTATAGCTGGGAAAATCCACTATTTCTATGGCCATGGCTTCACTAGTTAACTTTGTATGTTTACCAGAGGGTATTGG